TGGATGGATGGATGGATGGTTTAAGCTTGAGTTCAACCTTCTCTAAATCTGAGCTTGACTTGAACGTGACAGGACTCGACACCACTGATCGAACCTTCAGCAACTTCCAAGTAATGTGGACACCAAATACACATTTCAGTGAAGCGGACACAATAAAAATCCAGGAAAGTTGGCTCAGATAATGATTCCTTGGTACTTCAGATGACTAATGACTGTTTTTTGGCAAAGTGAGACAATAGGACTACATATTTTATATGTGTGTGTATCACCTCTGATTGTCATCTTCCGAAAAAACCTCCACACAATATTATCTTTTAATTAGCTCTTAACCACAGCACCAGTCCAACACTCTTCCATTTACTGAGGAGATAACTAGAGAGGCAATCAGGCGGACGAGTCAAACCGCTGCTGTTAATTACCCACATGCAAATAATGAGACAGAGCCTCTTATTAGCTTCCACAATCCAAAGCTTCCCCACACTCCACTGCTTTGACAGCTCCCCACGGCCTACTAAAAGAGATCTGCTTTTTAACAGGGGAGAGGAAGCTTACGGCTTAACTGTATTTCTTAAGCACCTGCAGCAACTGCTCAGCCTGGGTGTGCTTGTGTTGGTGGGAGGCAAGCGAACACGCACACGCTCTCAGCACTTTTTAATCAAACAAGTTGTGAGGAAACTCAAAAGGGAAAACATTTCAGGGGTTTGGTGCCATTACACATTAACAGTAAGATACAGGAAGGGAGCGGGCTAGTTTTTGTTTTACCCACAAAACCGGGGACATCGTGAACCCTGATCACTGCTGTTTAGTAGCCAATAAACAGTAAATGTGACGACTGAAACAGAGTTCAGCAGAGTTTCTAATGATTTACAGAGACAACTGAAATATTAAGCTGTAAATGTGAGGTTTCCATTCAAACACTGCATATCATTACATCCTATATTTTACAGTACAAAGTGATCTTATGCTGAAATCGTGATGTAACCGATGAAGGGAATAACATGTGGAACATAAACGCACCAGCTTGAAAATGAGAGGCAGGCAGACTAAACTGGAGGCAAAAGAGGGAGATGCACAGATGGAAAGAGAGAAAATGAAAGTCAGCTGATGCACCATTTGTATCTTTCAGCACAGATCTTTAGCTTACATCAACCAAGTGTTCCATCTCTCTTGGATGCAGCATTTGACTGGTCACTGACCCACCACAATGCCACCAAGCTGCCCACCCTGACCTGCTCTGTCCACTGTGGTCTGTGTCCAAGCTGCCCATCCACTCAAACAGCTCTTCTCTTGTCAGTTTGGGTTCAGAACTGATGCCATTTGGGCTGTAAAGCCCTGTGAGACATATTTGATAGTGTTTTATATCAATGAATGCAATTTGACGAGAATAGTCTTGTAAAACTAAACCAGTGACAGCAACATGGCTGGATTCTCCACTGTCAGTCCTCCATTTCACCAATGTAAGTAATTGTACGTCAGTGATGTGTGTTGATCTGTGTTGGTTGCATCTTTAAAAGTCTTGTAGACAGTGAGTGGATTGAACTGTTTAGCTCCGTTATATTCGCTGAAAAAAATACCAGTGATGTTACACATGAATAAATCAAATCTGCTTTAAGACATCGGTCACACATTTGTGAAACAACAGATTAAGTGCAAATTTTGCTTAAAGTTTGCCAATAGATGTTTTAATCTTGTGACTGAAATCCTTCAATAGCCTAATTGGTTATGGAAAATACACACATCACATGTCATTTGTTCTAACACCATGGATGTATATAATGATATCTTCTGGAAATGTTTGCTGGAAAGTGATATGATACTGCATAAATAAGCCCAAAGGAATGCTTGTTTTGGGCTAATCCAGAAAACTAATATACAATAAATATAATAATATACATACACACCCAGTGACATCTGTATAATCAGTGTGGCAATAATGCTAACTGAAAAAATACTGACCAGCTAACAAGGACAACAAACAACATAATGACGGTAGACAGCGTTCTGTTGCTCAACTGTACAACCAGTTCATCAGAAGTCATCTACAAACCACCCAGAACAAACTCAACATGTGTCAACATTCACCTAAGATGCTTCATCTTTTCGACTGACTTACAGGCAGCACGTTACATAAGTCGTCCAACCAGGACGCTTAAAGAAAAATACATGGAAAGCATGAACATGAGTGACTGGGCGAGCAGGTGTGCAGGCTCTGGGAGGATTTAACAGCATTAGCAGGGATACCTGTCTGAGTTTGAGGTAGAACATCTCACTGAAGGTCTTGCGGCTGAAGTACCAGAAGCGTTCGTTTGATGGATAGACCCTGACGAGAGTTTCCAACAGGAAGCGAACTGGCTCCACCACTTCGGTCACCACCAGGTCCACTGCCACCGTCATGTAGACCTGCTTGTCTAGAGCGAAACAAGAAATAGGCACGGTTACTGTGGAGGTAGTATGCAAGGCCCTTGGTTTCTTTTCTTTTTACCTGATATGACTCAATCTATGCAAAAGAAAGCTCTTAAATTAGTGACTAAAATACATTCATATTTGAAACGTCAGTGTTAGAAACAAACGGTGAGCAGCTCGAGGTGCATCGCAGCTTTAGAGGCTTTTATAGTCCAACCAGGTGATGAAGTGTCCGGTAGTCAAAAACTGGTAAAAATCTCATCTGGTGCTCTTTTATTTATCATCATCATGTGTTTGTCTTTTATTTTCTAATTACTCAGAGCAACCTCACAATACATTTAGAAATCCAAGAAGAAGTGATAAAATTCCCACCACGAGGATGTCGCGCCCCCTAGTGGACTCCCCAACAGACAGTCTATAAAAGTGTCTATTAGCTAAAAAGCTTATGCTGCGACATGAACCCCAAGGCTGGAAAAAAAACAAAACATATTTCTAATAGTACAGCAAATGGTTTAGTTCATACAACAAGACATTCATAAAGAAAAACACGAGTCTTAAACTAGCAGCAGTCTGATTACAAAGGAGGAACTAACACACAACTAAAATAGAAAGTGTGGCTCAGGAAGTTATTTCACAGTAGGAAGGTTTCATTATTATAGTCATCTCATGGAGGGACATAAAATAAACTCCACCCACTGTTTCCTGACAGCTCGCCAAAGACAGTTTACCTGCAGAAGACAACTAACCTGACTACTGTTACACTTCAGACATTTCCACATCACAACACAATGCATGATAATATGAGAAATAATCACATCGCTTCTAATTAACTTTTCAATAATCCTGCTGTAAAAGAAAAAAGAAAAAACATTTGAAACGCACGACTACAGGCCTAGGTTAAAACCTCTGACTTCTGTGTGTGTGTGTGTGTGTGTGTGTGTGTGTGTGTGTGCGTGTGTGTGTGTGTGTGTGTGTGTGTGTGTGTTTTGAAGCTAGTTGTGCTCCACACTGCCCGACTTCCATGAGGTGGACTGCTCAGACAGAGCTGCCATCCACCTTCCAGTCAAACTCTGTGACCCTTTGAGTCAGCAAGTTGCCACATCGTCTATTTTGTCAGCTTTAATGGATTCAGAGAGGCAAGTTCTCAGCCTGGGGACACTCGCTCTACTACTTTGTGGGATTCATTGTGGGGAAAACGTAAACGATTTTATTTTTAAGACAGTAAAATGAGCGTGACGATAAATCAACTTCCTCAGCAAATATGTTTTCAGGAACATTTAGTTTAATGTTTTTGTTAAAATCAGGGTCCAGACATAAAGATTTTTCTAAACACGTACGACAAAAACCAATAAAGCCTGCCTCTTTCTGTAACTTTGTACTTACTACCTTATAACTTGTTTATAACTACATTTAGAAGGAATAAATCAAACGTACATTATGAGCACAAATCTGCAATTTTCCCAACATTAAAAACTCACTGAAGATAATCAGACAAACTGTGTCCTGATCATCAGGCAAAATCAATAAGCCAGTAAAAACTGCACAGGTACAGGAAAAGTGAATCTCCTCCAAATCCCGTCTCTTCTAGGTGTCCAAAGCTCTGTTACGCCTGCTACTCGACGCAAATTGTTCACACCTTCTTGTGTAAAACATGCCAAGCTTTGACAAGCTACGGGTCACAAGGCCAGGTGCGAGACTATACGTTATGTCAGGGGATAGATGAAGGCAATTATCACATCCCGGCTTCAGTTGGCCTACAAACGCTGCATAATTCCCACATGTGGCCTTGAGCAGCCTGATGTCACATTGACAATAATGTATGGAGATAATTCCTGCCGTATCTCACGTGTGTGTGGTGTAAACTACCACCCGTGGTTTCCATGTTAGGATAAATGCAACAAAAAAAAAAACTCACAAGCAACTTTAAGGGTATTTTAGGACACGTTAGATAGAATTTGCAGGCTTTGTAACTGACAGTAGAACATAAATTTAACCTTTCAGCGTGTAAAAACTTCTCTGGATTTGTAGTTATTTACGTAGCACGTGCGTTGTAAACTATGTCAGTGACTCATTCTGACCTTTCGGTGTGTCTTCATTCAGCAGCTGGAAGGCGGCCATGTTGGGGTTCCACGTTCCTGTGATCACGTAGGCCTTCCCGTCGGAGCTCTTTCCCATCGATTCCTGCGCATGTGATAATCGATTGTTTACTTTCTCGCACTCATTTTCTGTTTAACTGCAATAAAATGAATAAAGCGAGTGAAGTCTGGGACTAACAGTGAATGTACAACCAAAGCGGTTCCGTTAAGGTGTTTTACATGTCGGTGAGGTGGTCGTTCTCCACCGTGTTCCACAAATAAAAGGCACACACACTACTGCTCTTAGTTAGAAGTACTGTAAACTCTCCGTCACTAAATAAATGAATGAAATGGAGTTCTGCTCACCATGTCTAGCAGATGCATGTCACTGTTGCAGACTTTCTGTCCTGGACTCAGCAGCATCCCAAAACACCTCGAAGAAAGACACAGAATCAATCACAAATCAATAATGACTAATTCAGCTGCAGAGTTACACCTGCTAGGATCATATATTTTTGATTCA